CATATATGAATATGAATATAATATGAATGTGAATAATCAATTTAAAAAAACCCAGAATGTTTATTTTTATTTTTTTAAATACCCTGTTATGTTGGCAGCCTTTCATCAAGACCCCTCTTCCCAGTAGGAAAAGACCTTGCATTGTCTAGACATTTGGTGGGCCTAAGGCCTAGCATACTCACCATATGACTCCTATAAGGAAGGTCTGAAACACATGGGTCAAATAAAGCACCTTCTGGGCACTTTGTGAGTATGGAGTTCAAATGATGCACACCCCCAAACCACCTGGAAGATGCTCTGAAGTCACCTAAGGTAGCCCGAAGCTGGCCGTGAAAGGAGTGGATAAAAGCCACTCCTGCCAGTGGCCCATTTGGGATTGCAGTTGCAGCCGGCTTCAGGACCGCCTCTGACCACTCCTTTTGCTGTGTCTCCTTCATCCCTAAGTCTCCAGGGCTGGAAGGTGGGCTTCCGTATTACATTGCAAAGGCTCTCCAAATGGGTGGTTGGCTTGATCAACTTGACATATTGATTCACCACAAAATTGGAACCTTTGAGCCTTTGACCCACACAGTATTGGTGTCCTAGGCATGGGTGAGGGGCAGTTCTTTGCTAGAAGTCTGCAGAACAGCTGCTTGAGCTCAGCTGCTGACCTTTATCTGGCACTACCTCTGCAGAGCTTGGGCAGTTACACTGTTTGGAAGGGCAGTACTGTCATCTATCGTCAACTGACCTGCCCCATCTCCTATGGTAAGCTTGCTAATCCATTTGTGTGAGGCACAGAGATCACAACGAAGGAGGACAGGTTGCTTACTTGTAACTGTAGTTTTTCGAGTGGTCATCTGTGCCCCCACACAACCCACCCCTCCCTTCTCTTCTGCAGGTCTTTTCTGATCTTGATGATGGAACTGCAGACTGCCAGAAATAGTGCACATTAAATTGAGGCACTGCTCTGGCTCAGTGCTAGGGAATCATGGGAACTGTAATTTATTGTGGCACCAGAGCTCTCTGACAGAGAAGGCTCAATGTCTCAGAAAAAAATACAATTCCCATGACTCCCTTGCACTGAGCCAGGGCAGTGCCTCAATTTAATGTGCACTATTTCTGGCAGTCTGCTTAGGCCCTAAGAGGGATTTGCTATTGGCATGATTTATATTCTTGCCTGAAGAGGGCAAGATTCCTGCCAAAGGCTACTCAGCTCTGGAACATTGTAAGGATGGATCTGCACAGGTGCGAGACCCATTTGTGTGAGGGCCCAGATGACCATTCGATGACCATTAACGTACAGTTAAACAACCTGTCTTTTTCAATAAATCTTATTACACCATAGCTGATTTTGTCAGCTTTTTATGTCCAGTGTGGTTCCCAGTGTTGGGCTGTAGACTGTTTTGATTTTCTTTTTTAAAAGAGGCCTATTATGTCAGGCTTAAGTGCCTTTTTCCTAGACTGACTAATCGGATGTCCCTGGCAATAGCAAAAGCTGGGTTTGGAAATAATAGCTCTCCCTGTTGTTGTTCCCTAGCAACTTATATTCAGTGTAATACTGCCTCTAAACATAGAGGTTCTGGTTAAATATCACAGCTTACAAATGGTGGTCATTGCCACATTTAATGGCAGTGAATTCCGTGCGCTGTTGTGTGAAGAGGTAGTTCCTTCTGCTTTTCATAAATTAATGTGTCTATTTTACTAGGTGATCCCAAGTTCTACCATTATGAGAAAAGGTTATCCATTTTCTTTGCAATATTCATAATGTTGTAAGAGCCCATAATGTCTTTACTGGGTCATTTTTAACTAAAACCCCTCAGATACTTTAGCCTGCCTCAGGTCTTGAGCTCCATCATATTTAATACCCTGTGTGCAACATTTTCTTTTTGAGGATAGTGTATTTTATGTTCTTGTTTCATTTCTGTCTTGCATTCCTCCCACCAATGGGATTGCATGTGGCTTCCTGCGGGGTTTGGTTTTTATAGCGCAGCATCTTTTAAAGGGAGATGTTCTTGAGCCTAATATCAAAAGATACAAGAGCCTTTATGATTTTGGAAGCTAAGCAAGGTCGGTCCTGGTTATTACTTGGATGAGAGATTGCTAATTAATACCAAGTGTAGGCTATATTTCAGAGGAAGGCAATGGCAAGCTTCCTCTGAATATTCCTTGCCTTAGAAAACCCTGTGGAATTCATGGTGTTGTCATAAGTTGACAGATGACTTGAAGGTGTGCGCATGCACTCTCTTTCTCTGTCTTTCTTCTTGGTTTTCTTGAGTACCTATTGGTGAACAGAACTGTAAGAACATGGTCCCCCTAGCTGCATGTTCAAGTATTTTTTAGAACAGTATGGAGAATAATAGTACAAACAGAATGAAATGAAAATTCAGTCTAATTCAGTCAAGCCTTTTGCCTGACTCTACACAACAAGCCTCTGTCTTAGATTTGTATATCTGCCTTGGGACTGACTTTGGGAGAAAGATAGCATATAAATGAAGTACATAAATTAAAAAATAAAAATCTTCTTAGCATTATTATTATTATTATCATCTTATTCAGTTATATCCCACCTTTCTTCCAATAATGGGACTCAAGGCAGCTAACAATATTTTAAAATGATCCATATGAAAAACACTATAAAAATTAAATGAAAATACAAAATATACAATTATACAATCATTTAATACAATTAAAAATACTAAAACACAGTAAAAACAAGAAAAAATTATATACAGACCCTTTAAAAAACTTCAACACCAGCACCACACAGCATTAAGCACCCAATCTCAACAGTTTGTAAAGGCAGTTTATATTTCTATATTCTGTACAGGACAGATTGGATTACAGTAGTGGAGGTGATTATTCAATAATTTTCCACTAAGAATAATTGCCTGTACTCAGTACTGTAGTTTTTCCATGTTCACTGAAAAATATTTCACCTATTGTGAAGGATATAACTTCACAATGGGACTGGAAGGCACTGACACACAGATCACTCTGGAGATGTACACTTTCTATAGTACCTTCTGCTCTATAATGTTCAGACGTTGTTGTTGTTGTTATTTGGAGTATTTATATCCCACTCTTCAGCTACAAAGGCTCTCAGAGCGGCTTACAAATGGTTCCCTGCCCTCAGGCTTACAATCTAAAAAGACATGACACAAAAGGAGAAGGATATGGTAGTGGGAAGGGAATCAGATCCAGCAGTTCTTCTCCCCCTCTGGGGCCTGGACCATGGCAGATGGACTGGCGGGAGGGCTCTCCTTCTTTAGGCTAGGCCTGATGGAGCTGGCCTGCACCCAGGCTGCTGGCTCATAGAGGGAGAAATAGTCTGCCAAATATCCTGGACCCGAGCCATATAGGGTTTTAAAGCCATCATCAGCACTTTGAATTGTGCCCAGAAACAAACTGGCAGCCAGTGGTGTTGTATGATCTCTATAACCTGCCCCTGTTAGCAGCCTGGCTGCAGCTCTTTAGACCAGCTGAAGTTTCCGAATGCTCTTCAAAGGCAGCTCCAAGTAGAGCGCATTACTGTTGTCCAAATGGGATGTAACCAAGACATGTACTACTGAGGCCAGATCCAGCATCTCAAGGAATGGGTGCAGTTGGATCACAAGTTTTAAATGTGAAAAAGCAGTCCTGGTCACTGCAGAAACCTGGGCCTCCAGGTTCAAAGCTGAGTCCAGGAGTACCCCCAAACTGCGAACCTGCATCTTCAGGGGGAGTGTGACCCCATCTAACACAGGCTGAATCCTTATTCCCTGATCTGCTTTCTGACTGACCTGGAGCACCTCTGTTTTATCTGGATTAAGTTTCAATTTGTTTGCCTTCATCCAGTCCATTACTGATGACAGACACTGGTTTAGGGCCAGAACAGCATCCTTGGATTGGGGTGGAAAGGAGTAGTAGAGTTGAGTTCATTGTCATATTGATGACACCGCACCCCAAAACTATGGACAACCTCTCTCAGAAGCTTCATGTGTATCTTAAATAGCATAAGGGACAACACAGAACCCTGAGGGACCCCAAAGGCCAATGGCCAGGGGGTCAATCAGGAGTCCCCCAGCACCACCTTCTGGATTCGCTCCTCCAGGAATGAACAGAGCCGCTATAAAACAGTACTTCCAAGTCCCATCTCAGAGGGGCAGCCCAGAAGGATACCATGGGTAGTGGTATCGAAAGCTGCTAGAGGTCCAGTAAAACCAACAGGGACACACTCTTCCAGTCTAGTTCCCTGCATAAGTCATCCCCCAAGGCGACCAAGGCTGTCTCTGTTCCATAGCCAGGCTTGAAACCAGATTGAAA